AGTCAGCAGAGCAGGGCTGCTCCACCACTAAAGTGATATCCAATTCTCAACACTTGGTGTAGCCAGTGGTGTAAAGTACCTATGTACATTTACTCCAGTACTGTACTTAAGTAACATTTTGAGATACTTTTACTTTAAATGAATATCTCAATTGTCTGCTACTCTGAAATTCTACCCCATTACAGTTCAGAGGTAAATGGTGTACTTTTCCTCCACTACATGTATTTAATACCTTTAGTTACTTCACAGATGTGGATGAATGATGTGAAATATAATCAAGTGTTAAATCAGACTTTAGTTCCACCTGGAGTAAATCCACCAGCTACCCTGCAGTATACAAAGTCATTCAAACTAGCTGCACCTTCACCAGCTTTGAGAACACTTTCATGATCAATCATTATAAAACATATCATATATATTGTTCTGAAATGGACCAATCTGCACAATGACTACTTTTACTGTTGTTACTTTAAATATATTTTGATGCTAATACTTTTCTACTTTTACCTGAGTAATATTTTGATCGCAGGACTTTACTGTAACAGAGGATTTCTACACTCAGCTACTTCTACTTTTACTCAAGTACATGAACTGAGTACCACCTCTTGGGTATACCATTGTTATTGATCTGGAACAGGAAGCTGTTGCAGAATCTGTCATGTGACATACTTCTATTAGAAATGCAGAGATAGGGTGTTATTGAAGTACTCAGTTATAAGTAAAATTCATGCATTCCAAATCTTACTTAAGTAACAGTTTAAACGTATCAGCATCAAGTCATGGTAACGTTTTAAAAGTTAAATAACTTGTTATGCTTAAGGCCCATTTCAAAATCCCATATATTCAATTATTGGATTATGATCAGTGCTGGAAGAAGTAGGGCGGAAGTAGCGATATATTAATTTCAAATACTCTATTACAAGTAAAGGTCCTATTCTTAAGTAAAAGGAAATAAGTATTATGAAGCAAAAATGTACTTAAAGTATAAAAGGTAAAAGTATTAATTCTGCAGAAAAAATTGCCTCCATATGTAATGCGTATATAGTTAAATATATGACATTATCTGATTATTCATATTGTTGCATCAAGTAGCATTTGACTGTCGCAGAAAAACAACGTTTTTGATACAGAAATGATTGATGCTAACAACTTTTTGTAATATATTGTTGTATGTTCTTTTATTGTAGCTTAAAGGTCTCCTATTATACTGTTTTTCATCAAAATATTATAGGTCTGGATATATACAAAACATGTCTCTGAAGTGTTTGGCTCCAAATACCAAACAGATCATTGCAGCATTACCCATAATCCCCTCTGTTTCAGCCCTGTTTCCAAAGTGCTGATTCACTGTCTGTTACTTTAGATGAAAATAAGGAGCCACGCCCCTCTGAGAGAGATTTGGTTAAAAAGAACAATAGGCGCGTTCACACACCGCAGTACTTTTCCCACTTTAGTTCCGATATAGTTCTGAAATGTCGTGTTCACACCAAAAAAATCCTGAACTAAAATTAGTTCATGAGAACCTTTTTACCCCCTTTTCCGTCCCTGCTAGAGAGCACTGACTTTCGTGGTAGAAAAAGGTTCCTATGTCTGATTGGCTGGGCGGATTGCAAACCACGCCCCGTAAAACTCCCAAAAGGTTTTGTGAAGCCGCCATTTTATTATCCTCGCATTAGCATTATTAGCATTAGCATTCGCCCAGCGCACAAACGCAGAGAGACTAACTTATGGCAACACAAAAGAAAACATGGGAGCGGTGGAGATGAGGAGGTGTCGGCGTTCTGGCGATTTACTCGGAAGGCCCCAACTCCGGGGACTTCGGGTGGCAGTACACGCCGTGAAGTTGTTTGCGGCCTGCCAGTAAACCCAAAGCAGAAGAAGACGAAGTAACGTCAGTGGCTTCATTTGCCTAATCCAGTGGTCACCAACCTTTTTAAGCCCAAGATCACCGACCTCGGCCTAGGTGAAAGGCGAGATCTACCTATTGCAGAATTGAGTGAAAAAGACGGCCCAGACAGTGCTTCCAATTTGAGGCCTTTTATATAGGCGAATTGCATCTGAATTACTGTTACAATGAAGGCTACATAATCAGCTCATGGCATATAGGCAGGGGTAAAGTGCTATTTTTTTATGAGTGTGGGACCTCACCTCTTCTAGGGGGGTCCTCACCTCCTTTAGGGGATACGGGGGGACGCTCCCCCGGGAAGATTTTTTTTAAAACATTGAAGTTGAAAGCATCAATCTGGTGCACTTTGAGAGCAACATGAAGAGATCTATGGATACCTCTCTTAGCACCCATATGAAACACAACTGTAAACAGATGTTCTTTTTCTTTATGGATATTTTACAAATCACTCCCCTTTCAAACTGTATTCTTGTTTTACTGCCATATAGTATTTCATACCTGTTTTTCATTTATTCTCTTATTGTTTGTATAACTATAATGATCATATGAAGGTGTGCAGCGGAAATAATCTTTTGAATAATTTGTGACAAAACCGTTCTAAACACTCAGAGAGTCCTTTAGCTCACCTGAGCCCCTCAGTCTGACAGGGGAGGACTCTCCTCCAGCTTGTTGTGGAAACAGCTCCTTATGTCCGTTAGTGCAGCTAGCTAACCAGATGCTAACATCACGGTCCCCGCTAGAACCGGTCCCTCTCTCTCCCTCTCTCCCTCTCTCCCTCTCTCCCTCTCTCCCTCTCTCCCTCTCTCCCTCTCTCCCTCTCTCTCTCCCTTTCTCCCTCTCCCCCTCTCTCTCTCAGAGCCGCTTGAATGACACAAGCACATTTTATTTCCATGCAACTCTCTGATTGGTCTGGTGACTTGCCTCTGTTGCATTCACTGAACACGGGAAATTGCAGTCCTGCCGTCCTCTCTTGTGTCAGGATGAGGTTCACGTCAAGCACGGTTAATGTATTATATTATTGAAGTGTCTCAAATATACGTCAATCAAGTGGCACCTGCTAACAGGGTGGTGGATGATAGGTTTACATCTAAAAACGTATTTTTCAAACATTATTATTTTTATTTTATTTGTCTTTCTTTTGTTACTTTTTTTTTTAACGGTCCGCGATCTACCCGCACCACACTCGCGATCGACCGGTCGATCTCGATCGACTGGTTGGCGACCACTAGCCTAATCCTTCCCCCAGGGACTTATTCCGGTGTGAACGCGATCTGTACTCAGTTCATGAGAACTAAAGAGTTCTGATTAACCTTTGTGGGAAAAGTACTGCAGTGTGAAAGCGCCTATCTTTTCCCAGGAATAGTTCCGATAGTTCCTGGGATTTTGCTTTCACACCAAAAAGATCTGGAACTAGAACTTTTTCTTGCGAACCTTTTCACCCCTTTTTAGTCCCTGCTTCTCAAGGGGTACCTTGGTTGGTGATTGGCTAATGGTTACACAAGCCAAAATCTGATCAGCTCATTTTCAGGACAAAAAGTGAGCAAATATTTTTTCCTGAAACGTTCAGAATGTCTTTACACAGAGGGGACACATGTTTCATATAAAAGACATGAAAAAGTGAATTTTGCATAAAAGGTGACCTTTAAACGGTTAGTCCACTTGCTTAATCTTTTAAATGTTAAAAGTGTATCACAAGTCTTTAATGTAACATCCTGAAAAGTCACTAAAACCTAATAAATAATACATGAGTTAGTATGTAGTGGAGTAAAATTACATTATTTCAATTTAAGATGTATTGGAGTAAGAGAAAGGCATAAATAGTAAAGTAGCATTCAGTGGAAATACTTCAAAACTGTACTTAAGGACAGTAAATGGTCTTTGATACTTTCCATTACTGACAACAGCAATATGTCAGAAATAATCATTTGTTGTACATATTTTCTGCATGTTGGGAACAATTTCATTACACATCAAATCAAAAATATTTGGAGAGCTGAAGAAGTAATACGTTTAAGCAACCACTCTTTCTCAAGATTACCAAACAGTCTCCAAGCAATGAAACATGGAATGGATAAAAAAAGCTAATGTTTGCTGTGATTTCCTGAACTGTAGCTTATTTGGTGAAGAGAATATCTGTACCCAGATATTCCGGATTCACAAATACATATTTCGTCACTACTTGCAGATAAAAACTTTGTATGCTCCGTCGTGCTGATGCTATCCCTAAATCAGAATGAATAATAACATTACATCATCATAACAAAGCCAGAGTGACAGAAGAGATCATTCTTTTTGTTTTTAAACTTTATACAACCAATCAATGGCTCAGTCTTTAGGGACTTGGCTTGGGAACAGGAGGGAGGCTGGTTCAAGTCCCCGTACTCCCAATTTGTTTTGTTTTAAATGTGCTTGAATGAAGATGCAAAGGTACTTTTTTTTTACATGGGATTTTAGGCACCAATATATGGTGGGAGTTACTTTATTTGGGTAAAGGAAATAAATCCTGATGATAAAATACATTGAATTGGGGATTTTAGGTGTTGTAGTGTAACATAATGTATTCTCCCATTATATAATGTTATCTCTATTGAGTCAGCACACATTGACTTGTACCTATTATTCCCCCCTTCCCTTTGCGTCTTTACGGGAAGTAACCTCTTTAAATTGAGCATTTATGGATTTTGATGAATTATTAGTTAATTCTAATGTATTTATAAACCCCTAGACTTTAAGAACTTGTATGTGTTGTATATGTTTCTGCTCATGGGCAAAAGGTTCTGTAAATTGACAAGATAGATAGAACAAAAACATCGTAATATTTAGAGATTAAAGAAATTATATTTTCCAAATGATTGCCAGGGACAATTCAGTACTATCTGCCCTCTTTAGAAATGAAATAGTTTATCACGTGTTAACATACTGATAAGCATTACAGTAGGTAGCCTACAATCATACATCCGGACATTTCGCTGACTTTCGTTTTAATCAAAATAAGACACTTGAGTGTTTAACACAATTAAATGAATTGGAATGACCATTTTGAACTTCACGCGTATTTACGCACATAATGTCCTTTCTCTCATCCTGCACTGACCTGCCCTCACGGTGTGGCTGAACGGCTTCTCCTCTCTGACACGTTCCCCCGGACATAGCGCCCGTCCACAGCAGCAGGATGAGCAGCATCACGTCCGTGTGCATGGTGTCCAGCAGCCCTCTCCAAATGTCTCACAACTGCCACTTACTCCCACAACTTTTCCCGCACAGAAGGTGCATTCTGCACTCGCGTTGCGCCGTACACACAGTGAGATTCTATACATGGATGCTACTGCATTTAATCTCAAAGAGGAGGGGGAGGCTATTTCACCACAAATCCTCCGCGTGAGATGGCTCGGATTTGATCTCCGTGCACTCGGTGCAGTCTGAGCAGGAACGCAGGGCAGGTTTTCTCCGCCTGGTGGCAACAGCTGACACCTGTGAAGGTCACAGGGATGCAGGATATGATCTATGCGCCCTTTCATATGCATGTGTCAAAGATTTAATGCGAACCAGGAAGCAAATCCCTAACATCAGACTGATTATTACTTAGATTTATATATTTGTATATTTCAACAAATCATCTGAAACAACCTATATAGATTTTAAAAGGAAGCAATTGACCAATTATTTCTAATGTGTGTTAGGAGGTTATTGTTGTGTCTCGTCAAATGTGTTAGTTATGTTTATGTATTATTTATGTCTGTCATTTTCATGTTTTTTCACGTCTGGTCGTGTCTGTTTATTTAGATCCTTAGTCAGTCTCTGCATTGTCATGTCTCGTTTTCCATTTCCTGTTTTATTTTCTACTTACCTCTTGTCTTATCCCTCCACAAACCTCTGTTGTCTAGACCCAGCTCTCCTGTTTTATACAGTATACAGTATAGCAACACGTAATGCTGTTTGAACACCTTTCTGTTTGTGTTGTGCACTGACATTGTTTTATGTTGACTTCATAATATTAAGTTTACATAATGAATTCAACTTAATATCATTGCTTTTAACTAACCTAATACAGTTATGTGAAATATGTTGACATAATACATGTAATAAAAGTCAATGTTTCAGTTTGTAACAGTGTGTGTTCTTTGGGGAGTCTGTTATGCTGTGTGGACAGTATTAATGTCCATGGGCAGTGGAGGTTGACGAGCTCTGCTTTGTTGTAAAAAATATGCTGTTTGTAGGATTATCCAAAGGCAGGCTTTCATTTTCCTTTGCACCCTTAGGTTTGATCCTCTTATATTGTTTGATAGATTATTAAAAAACAACATGGCAACAGTAAATCCATTACAGCAGGGCTGTCTGCTGACAGGGAGTCGCAGCTCAGAGGGCAGCTTCTGTCTGAGGCCTGGGTCTCTTTACATTAGCTGTGTACATCCATCCCACCTCTGACAATATCTCAAACAATACAAAACACCTCTCTCTGTGGCGTTTTTATATGTACAAAAGTGGTGGGGCACAAACAACTTAGATGTCTATATATAAGCTTCTGCAGTGACGTGCAGTGAGGTTCATGGCTGGTGAGGCACTGACTCTTCAGGTTTACAAATATTATATTTTGACCTAAATCAAAATATAATATTATTTTCAAAAGCTTTTTTAATTTTAAACAGACAGTTCAACAAAAGGATACCCAACAAATGTAATTTTAGCATTTAAATATTGAATTGTTCTCTCTTAGTAAGATCCCATTTTCAATAAAATGGTGGTCTTACCTTGACTTGAAGATGAAGTCCATTTGCCTATCCTTCTGGACAAAAATCTCTATAACTTTTTTGTAAAACTCTTCCTTATGTTCTTGTAGTTTCAAAAGTCTATCATAAATCTAATCGATAGATTTATGATTCGAAAATGATAAAAGTAGGGTAGACATGTGGATATTATCCGGCTGAACATAACGTGCATTTATCTAACAGGTTTGTTTCCTACAGATCTTATTTGGAGCTATTTTCTAAAATCCTATGGAGAAATCTCATTGCTTTTTTGTGGAGGGAACCCATGAGCAGCTTACTTCTGGGTTTTAGGACGCGTCTCTCGTCTCCTCTTCACACACTGCACTTTTCGCGGCACACGTAGCCAATCAGCTCTGAATGATGTGAGATGACGTATGGTGGGGATGGCAGCTCTATCCCCCTATGGTCATTATTTTTTTGCCACACACATTAAATAGGAAAATACTCTGAGCATGCGCAGTGTAGTTTTTACAGTCACCATTCACTTAGACAGTGAGAGGGAGGGGCAGGATCGGGTTTTGTCCCACATGGCTCAAAACGGCTCAATAGGCACACACTGTAGACACTAATTAGAAGAACACAGACTAAAACAGCAATATACAGACGAATCAGATGATTAAACATGATCTTAAAATATATTTTATATATATTTTATTTTTTTTGTTTTGTAATCATTATTTGTAATACTTTCTGCTGACACTAGGTGGGGCTGCCCCTAATCCAATCAAATCCAATCCACTTTATTTATATAGCACATATTAAAAACAGAGGGTTTACCGAGTTCTTCACAGCCACATAACATTATAATAAAATATAATATTACAATAATAGATAAAAGGCACACATAAGAATAGATAAAAGGCACATAAGGGCTATGGACAGACAAATAAAAGCATACAAATCGATAAAACATAGCTCAAACTGACTCGAAAGCGAGGGAAAAGAGGTGGGTCTTCAGGTCTACTAATGACCAGTCGCCACTGCTCTAGGCGTGGCATTGAGCAGACTTAACTTTCAGATTCAAAGACATTCATTAGTTGTGGTTTGAAACATGTAAATTAGATTACATTTCATATATTTTATTAATCCCAAATTATGATGTTTTTGAGTATTGCAGCATATAAAAAAGACATTGCACATGATACAAAATGTATCATAAAATGTACATTATTATTTAGAATACTGTATATCTCTAGAGTGTTGAGTACATCATTTAAAAATATAGAAACATACAGAATAATTTAGAAAACACTATTATAGACTAATCTATTCCTATTACAACTATAAACACAGGAAATATACATTAAAACGGTGCAAAGTAGTTGCATACAAAATAAAATAAAATGCAAAACCATCAATATTGGTGTTCCAGTTCAGTAAAATAGCATTAGAAGTAAGGTGATGAGTTTATTTACAGGGGATATATAATGTCATTATCAGGTTCTTACTGTGCTTGTATTGTAAAACTTGTTTACATGATTTCATGCAAAAACAAAACACGTGATCTTTTCAAAACTGTCTCTCTTACCTCATTCACACCAACAGTGTTTCAGGGCCGGTTCGGAGCTGGAGCTTGAAAAGCACCGGGTTTTCCTGTTCACACCGCAGCGGAGCAGCCTCTTAGCTCCGGAATCCGGTTCGTTTCAAGCACCAAAAAATTGTCCGGCCAGAGCAAAAGCACCACATACGTCACACTTACGTCGAGGGGCAGGGGGCGGGAGCAGGGGTGGGATCAACTCCTGAACAACAACAAAAAGCCTGCGTTTTATCCAGTTTGTGCACAACGATGGAGAAACCTAACAAGCAGCAGTGGTCCACTGACGAGACCAGCTACCTACTGGGAATCTGGTCTTCCGAAGAGGTACAGAGGAAGCTGGAGCACAATCGGCCATTGTTGTCGGTGTGAGCCATGGATGTATGGTGTGAGCTGTGAGGGGTTTCCGCGGCATCCGCGCGGTTTGGCTTTATGAAGCAGGCACACAAACGGTTACGTCATGACGCAAACGATGACGCAATGACGCAGCACCAGTCGGACTCTGGGCAGTGTGAAAAGAGCCGGAGCTAAACCGAAGAACCGGTTCTGAACCTGAAAAGCTCTAGCACGGAGCTTGAACCGGAGTTGCGTTGGTGTGAATGAGGTATCTGAGTTTACCTGAACTCACCCTCTGTCAGAAACTCTCCGTTTAAACACCCGTCTCTATATGAGACCATCCCCAAAAAGCCCAGTCTGCTCTCTGATTGGCTTGCAAAAAATATATGGCGCAGCTTTGCAAAGGTAGTATGATGGGCTGAAGATACTCAGATGGGGGTGGTAGGGGAGTTAACTCCAAATGGTTTGTTGAGTCCCATGTTTTCTTACCTAGGAAGACCACAAACACACTGACTGGGAGGTTACATTGCACATGTATGGGATGGGATGCACTTCTCATACCTAACTACTTAAGCTCAGTCACTGAAATAAAAATAACTCGGTTTTTGTCTAAAAGCATCCATTTTGTCAGCAGAGTTCATTAAAGTGTGTGTGTGAGATATAGCGTATCTAGTTCACATTTTGTCCTGAGAGTGGTGCTAGAGGAAAGGTTATCATAAGGAAGCATGCATGTGTGCAGTACTCGAGAACTCTGCCCACACATTTGATCAAGGGCTGAATCCAAACCAACAAATGGGGAGTGGGAGGGGGTTATCAAGCCCTCCCTCAGTGAGTCTGCACTGATCCTGACTTCACCTGCTGCTCTGACCAGGTGCAACGCTGTTTCTGCATCGCATCGGACACGCTATGTTAGCTCTATGCAAACAGTTAACTGAGCAAAATCAGATAGACATTTAATATTGTCATACTGATGTTAGCTTATAGGTTACATTGTATTCTTTTTTAAATGTGTCTAGTCTCGGAAAATGGTAGACTTCTTAATTGAACATTACAGTTTTGTATATTTACAGACTTTTGCAAAAACCAAGCAGCATAAACTTCAGATGTAAAACAAAAGGTGTTTACAAACAAGAAGCGCCACTAAAGCTTTTAAATTCATATTTATAATTTTTGTCAGAGAGATGCTGATTTGAAACCGGACCAACATTTATTTCCACCCTCCTCGTGTAAGAAGGAGCCTCGTTCAGCTGTGACTACAGACGGAGTTACCTCGGAGTTACCTCGGAGTGTTACGGAGTGGGAGGTAAGGGGCAGGCAGGGCCGGACTGGGACAATAAGTCAGGCCGGGAATTATACACCCAGCCAGCCCACTACCAGTTTTTTCTGTGCCATTTTGCTTGATTTATTTGTCAATATTTACAGCGTTGCTGCCCATAGTGATAGCCCTATACTTTGAATCTACTACCCAGAATAAACATATGGACATGGGTTACTATTTAAAAAAATTGTGCAAATGTATTTGGGAACCCATGTGAACATGTTTTAAGTGGGGGTCTTATGTATTATGCCAACAGATTTGTAACTGTATAGGGTTATTTAAAAGCAATAATATCAAGTTTAAGTGTTAGATATTAGGTTCACCTTCATATTATTGCTTTCAACTAACCTAATACAGTTATGTGACATTTGTTGACATATTTTGTTAATTAAAGTCAACGTTTCAGTTTTTTCAGTGTATGTAT